ATACAAGGGTTTAACACCATACTCACGGTCTTATAAAAGGACGAAAAAACGACACTGATGAAATATATTTTAATAACACCCTAAAAATACCATTTTTTATAACATTACCGTTGTTACCAAAATACAATAGAAGAAAATTTTCAATCTAATCATATATATCTTTTCCTTGTGAAAAATATCAAAGGAAAGATATCTCGTAATTAATATCTTTTTTTTTCAACTAATATTTCAATTAATTTAAATAACATTTCGATTGTTACATATATTTATTATCATTTACAGGATATCATAACCTTACCACAGCACCGGCCATTGAGAGTCTCGTGTTCGCAAAGCGAAGCTAAGTGGTGAGCCGACCGCCTCCACCCACACGTCTATGACCAGCGGCTCCAACTCCTCGACCTGTGAATGAAAGAAATGTTGATTGGAAAATACGAATACGGTCGCTGGAACCGTATAGTGGACCTCGCATAGTATAACAAACAAATAGGTTAGACCTGTACTAAGACGCTATGCATGTTGTCTGAAAATTCCCTCAACAAAACATGAAACATTCTCTCGACCCCACAGTGTATATAGCCAGTTTGTCTGGAGTCCTCTAAGTGAGTTTCCTACGCTAGTCAGTTATGGTCATACAGTAGCTACATTGTCACATCTCTCAGGTCCCTCCCTTTAGTAAAAGTACTTTAAGACAAATCAACTCTCAAATGTGTTAAAAACTATTAATCAATCCTATTTGTACTACATTTTCTTTTAAATGCTTATGAAAGACCTCCAACATCAATTAATTATTATCGATTGTTTCCTTTCTAAACAAGTCATTTGTGATAATTTTATTTTATTAATGATTTATACTGAGGCGGTGCTCGTATTTTCATTTTGTAAAAAAGGTAATTACAATGTCGATGAGTCAAATTAAATATGTATTATTTCAGTTTTTTACGTCAGTGAAGAATAATGTTAGAAGGAACACTTGGTGTTGTACTGCGTGTGTCTCGTGTATCTGGTATATTCCCTTTATCTATTAAGGGCACGAAATTAGGCGTGTCATTTCCGCTGGCAGTAGGAGGGAAAATATTTGCTGTAGCTATGGGTAACATTAATATTTCAAGTTTTGTCGCCTTCTTCTTTCCATATCTGTGAGTGTTTGCTGTTATTTTATAACGTTTGAGCTGCTTGCATAATACAAATTATATCTTGTTTATTAGAATAAGGCACATTAATTAATTTTAATAGTAATTTAATAACATACAAAAATATTAAAGTGCTAACGTTGCCCTATTCTGAAGCTGAAATTGTAAAAACATTATTACGAAAGACAGGCATTAACATTTTCTATTTTTTCATATTTCAGTTATAATACATTGTCTAGTTACTGTAGATACTTTTCTCTTTCATGAATTTAAACGATCTACCTTAATCTTTGGTCTTCTTTGAATTTTTGGGAACATAATAACTGTCATCGCATTATTAATTGTTGTGTTCACTTCACCTCAGAGAACAACACGGTACATACGGATCCTCCAGAAACTCGATGAGGTTAATATTTTATACAAACGTAATCTAGAATAGCTAACTTATTAAGAAGTATAGAAGATTAATTTTTTTTTCTTAACTGTTAATATAATAAAATCCGCTTTTAAACTTTTCCATATGTTATTTTGAATTTATATCTTTGATAATAATTTAATGACTTCATTTCTTTGCAGATGGATAAAGAAGTATTAGAAAATAACAGTGAGAGAAAACTAACGACATTTGTTTTGTCATTCCTTCTTATAACTTTAGTATTACGAGGATACAACTTTATTTATTACATCTATAACGAGAAATCATCACAATGTACGTATATATATACATATATTAACTGGACATATATACAAACTCGTATTATTTATTCACATCTTATTTATAGTTATCAAATATTAACTGTATCATTTCTTTTAAAAGATATATTATTTTAATACATGAATCTTATCATAGTAACGGCTATACATTTTCGAATAATGTTATGTACAAATATTTAATGATTTTTTTTTCATTTAGTGAGACTGGCAATTTTTGAATATATAAAATAGATGTAGCAGAAATACAAGTATCTTTATTCGCTCAAAGAACAAAGCTAAGTTTAATTGTGGTCAACAATACTCTTGATCATTTATGTAGAATGAAATCAAGTAAGTAAGTTTGAAAGCAATAATTCCATCAATAATTACTGAGCAAAATTAATTCCTTTTTCGTTTTACTTATGAGTAACTCCTAACTGATACTAAACAAATATAATAAATTATGATAATAATATGATTGTGTGTAGTGATTTACTCTCAGTATGAAATTAATAATTAATAGTCACCTAGTAGATATTCCCTAGTTTGTGCCTGTTATATTTAAAATTAATTTCAAAGAAAGGAATAATAAAATAGGGTCGAAGAAAAGACTTATATAGTGAAAGGAAATATATATGTACCGGAACAGAAGACTGTACTCGATATATAAATATCTATATACTCGATATATATAAATATGCAATGTAAAACAATGTACAGCATTTTCAAGTGTAATCTTTTTTAATGAAGATAAGTAACTTGATTTTTGTGTGTTTTCAGATTACGAGCGGTCACGTCTACGACAGAAGATCATTGTAACAACCAAAAGAGTGGACATAAGACAGTCAACTACTGAAATATTAAAAGAAGATAATTCTGGTGATACTCACTGTGGTATCTATATATATACATATATATGATAATAAATTTATTGGAAATATTTGTATCTTTAATGGCTCGGAGAAAGAAGTTAAGTATAAAAATCCTCAACAATAGTCTTCAACATATGCATGAAGTTCCTTCACAGAACGGTAAGATTTCAATCAGCTTTTCCTTTAAACTATTGTAAATCATAAGTTTTGGACTGGATTGGTACTATAAATACTGTAAAGTGCTCCCTAACAAACAAACATATAATCAATTTTCGTTGTTTTCACGCGTATTGCTTCATCCTCAGTGTCAATTGTATAACTGACCGAGGAAGGTTTCAAAGTATCGGTCTACACTTTTATTATTAAGATAGTAATAATGGTGTTTTTACCATTTATCTTGAAAGGTTTCAGTGACGTTATCTTACACCGTGCATATCTTATTAGCATTAAACAATAAGCGACTCAATATACAAATGATTCATTAACGATTACAAACACTAGTCTTTATTAATATTATATTTTATTGATTCAAAAAGTAGTAAACTAGAAAATGTCAAATCGTGATGTGTTGTTGCCCTTGAATATGGTATCAGAATCATCATCAATACATGTTATAAAACAAAGTCCCCCTCCGCGTCTGTCTGTCTGCCTGTTCGCAATAAACAGAAAAACTACTACACCAATTACCTAGCGGTTTTCACCAGTCGATAGCGTTATTTTCGAGAAAGGTTTTAATATATAATTTATTAAGGTTTTGTAGTGATTTGTGTGTACATTAACGATATTTGTTGAATATGTCGGGACAAAATGAGCTGTCTGGGATCTTTTAACGAAAACGCCGCTAAAACCCTTTGAGATATAACAAAACAATGTATGGTGGGATTTGATATATACTATAGGTCTACAGAGAAGTCCACAATAGCATATGTCTATCTATTGAGGATAACATACTATATCTATTTTACAAATTTTGAAAATTGCCATTCATGAAGCGATTATAGGAAAGCCTCTTCAGAATTATAGTATTAAGTCTTATCAAAATAAATTACTTTTTTTTCAGAAACTGGACCGTTATTTGAAAAACAAAAGTCATTTGTAACAATGAAGAAGACGAATAAAATAATGACAATAGCGGAAACATCGAATCAAAACAATAGTGGAGTTGTTGGTGCCTACGTGTGGACCTGCACTACATTTATTTTATATGACATTTTGTCTATATAAACTACGATATTCTACATAAATTTGTAATCCTTTTTTATCTATGTACATACGTCACTTCCTTTATATTTCAATATTGAATATCATTCCGCTACGATTTCTTGTCTTAGTAACATCTGTATTTCTGGTAAAGGTATCAAATCTTTTTCCAAATGATTACAAAACATGATATAAAACATAAAAATAATGAAATCTTTTAATGCTTTCGAATAATTACTTTATATAAAAAGTCTCATATAAAATGCGTATATTCTATTACAGAGGACGTCCTTCATCTGCCTACGGACCACCTACAAGTATCCGGAAACCAAACTCTCAATACGGACTAAAACTCCTTCCTCTCAGTATGGAGCACCGAACAACCAATATCAAGGACAAAAGCAAGCACCCACCGGCCAATACTTACCACCTACCGACCAGTATCAAGCTTCTGGGAATCAACATCCAGCTCCGAGCCAATACCAAGCACCAAAGGCACAATACTTGCCACCTGTAAACCAATACCAAGCACCTTCCACTCAGTACGGTGCACCAGATCAGGCTGGATCCAATGAACCCTCTCAAGAATATGGAGCCCCTGGATTTGAACAGAGTACGTTGGATTTAAGACAATATTTTCTCAACAATTGTTTAGAACAACTTAGTAATATTTAAAACACTCAATCATATTTATAAATGTATGCAGGTGCGTGTATGCTTTTATATATCTCCCTCAAAATATAACAAAATTATTTCAAGGTGGTAGTGACAACAAATATGCCAACCATCAAAGCAGACAGTACCTCCCTCCCAGTGCTCGTGGATATGATGATGGAAGCAATGGAGTGAGTAATACCAGAATAATTTTAATACCATTATCTTGGCCATTTACCATTTCGGCTTGCTTGGTAATTAATAACTACTAAGCAACACTATGTAAAAGAATTACTGATCCTCATTTAAAGTTCCCGATGTATAAAACGGATGGGATGGCTCTAGTTTTTGTTCAACTTGGCCTTTACTTTTTTAAGCTTTTGTATATTTATGATCGGCCCCGTAACATTTACTAATTTTCACTAACAGGAGCCTGCGAACTACGACTTTGAATACATGGTCCAGGACGCTCCCTCCGGCAACGACTTCGGTCACCGAGAATCACGACGAGGGGACCGCGCTGAGGGAGTCTAATACGTCGTCTTACCTGATGGAAGGAAACATGTAATATATAATAGGAGGGTGGGTTGTTGTTATAAACACAATAGAGACCATGAGAATGACTTATGAAATGAATTATTTGTCACCAGACCGTTGAATATGAAGCCGACCAGGACGGTTTCAAGCCCAGAATCTCATACGAGGACGTCGGCGCCGGATCAGGCTACGACAGTAACAGACAAGCGGATTACAACAACGATTATAACAACGGACCTTATTAGAAGACTTAATATAAAGAAGGCTTATTTAAGATGATTGTTTATCTTTATTTGATAGAGAGAAGGATCTTCTTCCCTTCCTCTTACTGATCTGTAAATAGTCCTTATTCTAAATGACGACAAGCAATGTTAATGGACACCGAGTGTGTGTATATTTAACTTTAATTCTATCTGTGCCTTACTGTTATATATATTTTAAGGATTTTAAAGAGTCCAGTTATACCAAAATAATTCTGTTACGGTTTTTATTTCTGTTAAAGAATGCGAAATGTTTTTTTTTGTAAATAAATGATGCTGCAAAGAATCCTAAAGTTTTTTCTGACCTGAAATACATTTCATCTAAACAAAGGGGTTAAAAGGTGGACTACCCTTATGACTTATCGAGTTTATTTTATTTTTTACTTTTCAAACTATGTTGCACATGGAGCTGTATTTAAATGTTACAATGAAAAATCTTATAACCGCATCTGAATTACTCTTATTTATATTTTAAAGACTTTTAGGAGTCCAGTTATACCAAAACATTTCTATGTTACCGTCTTTAATTTTGTTATGGATTGTGTAATGTATTTTCGTTGATAAATTAGTATGAAAAATGCAACTTTTTTTTCTTTATAACAATTAAGAGTAATTTATAAATACCATTTTTCAATAATAAATAAGCTTGCTAAAAGTAATTTATTGATTATACAACATATGACAGAGGCAGGTGTATTATATGTATATGTACAATAGAAATTAGAAAAATGTTTCTTTGAAGCTAGTGATGTTGTCTTCATGGCCAAATTATCAAAAAAAATTATACATTGTTTGACTGAAGTGAAATAATAAGATTTAATTGTTTATTATATTAACATCGAAAGTAAATCAAATGCCGATCTTCGTGTTTTATTATAAAGCCATTTAAGAAAATCAATACGTTGTATGTTTATTAGGTCGTTTTATTTTAAGAGGCATTTATTTTCAGATTATCTCTGAATGAGTATCTTAACAACTTTTCACAAATTCATTTTTCAGTATAAATTTTTCGTTAAGTACATTTTAGAATCTCCTAGTTTCTTTATTTGTTGTAGTACTACATATTTTTAATACTAAGTAAATATACTACAGTAATAAAATATACTACATATTTTCAATACTAAGTTTTTTAAAAGTCATTGCCTTTGTTGTTTATCCAAACATTACGTTTTAAAGATTTTATAACAAGTGCAGTGATTTAATGTCCTGTTTTGGTCTGAGTCCCTTCTGAGTGGTTGTATACTACATATATATATATTTCATTGGCATTGGTTCAAAGGGAATCAAAGAAACGACGACTCAGGTCTCGGTGTCTTGTCGGTGTAAGAATCCTACAAGCATTCTCCTGTATAAGTTTGTTATACCGAAATACAATCGGTTTCTGGTAGAGAAATCAAATTAAAAGAAAACTCGTGTCCCGTTTCTCCATTTTATAATTTCAAGTTTATGAAAAGGTTTCTTTAAAAAACTAATACTCAATTCCATTTCGTAAATTAAGTTCACTGTTTATTTATAATATATTTCAGAACTCTTACTTGCCTAGATGTAATAAAATGAAAAAGAAGAACCCCCAATAAAGAAATAAATTTCTATTATAAGGTACTTCTATATATTTAATAACAAATCAATTCTTACTTTACTTGTTATATTAATATTTAAAATACTCATAACAATCTAGATCTTAATGAAAATATGTACATATCACTGTTTCATTTTGTATATTACTTAAAAATGATATCGAAGATTTTCGAGTGTATTCATTTATATGAAACTAAGGTTTTCGGATACTGGAACGTTTTTTTTTTTATCATTTTTCAACTAGATAATTCTGAGGTTTCAGTTCCTTTACAATCCAGTCATTTTCTGAATTGAAAAATGGATGTTTTTTTTAATTTCATTACAGATGGCTGGAATTTATTTTACACCTGGGACCCCTTAATTAAAAAAATATAAAATAATATGTCCGTAATCATCATACCAGAATACCTCAGTACAGACAGTGACAAATAAAAAGATTAACAGCTGACAGACGCTTTTATCTCGTGTGCCCGTGATCACGGTTAATGAAAAGGATCCGTAACTCCCTAGTTACATAATAAACATAATACCCTTATTATGTTTTAATAAAATAAACAGGAACGCATAGTATCCAAATACCCTATTTTCATTTGTACTTACAAAGTTATGTCTATATGTGGAAATATCAAAATTGTATTGGTAACATAAGTTTTTATGTATTTTAAAATTAAAAAATGTAGTATTATAGAAAAACGATTTTTTTAAGATTATAACAATCTAGCAATAAATTATCTCAAAAGTAAAAGATAACATATAAAATTAGAAAGTTAAAAATCAAAGTAGATTACAAAAAATATTATAATGTTTGGTATGTCTTTTATACATAATAAAAATAAAAACAAATTATTATCACCGAGTTATTATATTCATATTAATAATTATTATGAGAGGGTTAAATATACAGATAATACTAACGTTACAGGTAGCTCAGGAACACTAACACATCTCCCCGCTACAAACAACTTGAACTGAATACATACTGAGTATAAACATATCTTCATTTATAGATACTAAAACAATAGTTTGTGCCAATTATATAATATAATATATAAGGAGATATGTGTATTAACAATCACAGTAGAACATTATATTCACCTACAGAATAACATATATTGATGTAGTATTATATTATTGTATATATAATTCTTTTCATATATAATATAAAACATATCCGTATAATGTTTCATTTCCATACTATATGTACATATATTGTTAATGTCTATTGGGTACAGTAGCAGTACATGTTGAGGTGAGGGTGGGTGGCGCTTATACAGCTCGGCTCATTGTTGTAACTGTAATATGTATAATATATTATTATTAGTATATTATCGGCGCTATCAGCTTTAATGACGACCGCATTGTGAAAATAATTTGAGGCTGTCATCAATTCTTATTAAAACTCATTAGTTTATGTATTGCACCCAGTATAGACAAATAGATTTGAATAATTCTGTTACTTACGCGTTAGTCCTTGATATGTCTCTTGAATTTATCTCAAATCTGTTTTCGTTGATAACATAAGTCACTAATGCTTCGTATTTACCAACACCAGGTCCTACTGCGATCTGAAATTATAAACATAGAACTTTCAGCCTTTCAGTCATTTAGTCTTCAACCACCAATTACTATCACTAGTTATCGCTTAAATCATCTAATAAACTGTATATGAATATATGGACAGTAGATTCAATTAAACTTTATTGAAACTATTTTTACGTTTTTTCATTTATGTCGATGATTGAGATAAATGATAACAGTATAGTCTTCTTCACAATGAGCAGTACATTCGCAACAAATAAAACTTAGAACCTTAATAAATTTCTAAAATTATTTCATTGCTAACTGTCAATATCCAGATTTTTTTAAACGGCACTTGGAATTAACCATCACTAAACTACACCTAAGGTATAAATGTTAAGTTTAAAATTAAAAAAAGAAAAATAATAAGCTTCTTTAATTGAAGCAATAAAATTTTATTACTGTAATGCTTTTTTTCTTAATTATTACAAGTGATTTTTCTTAATTATTAAAAAAATAATAATTTTCAAAATCTCAGGCTGTAAGATATACATATGTATATGTTTTCGTATTCTTTATACAAGAAACTCTGGAAATATAAAGAAATAAATCACTGATTAGCGTTTTTCAAAAGAAATCAACACAAATATAATACTAAGGGCTCAGGAAAATTACAAGTAAACTAAGATCAGTCTTGACAACTACATAGTACATAGTATTTTTGTGCTACTGTACTGTGCTGTGTGCTACAAATCTTCTATATCTTCAAGTCCAGATTTAAAAACAAAACAAAAGACCAATAAAAGCCTTCATCTCCGTTTCAGAAATGTGGTTTGACTAAATGCGACCGTAGAATTCTTTTCTAAGCTCTTTGTAATTTTTTCGTTGGTATATTTTTTTTATTATTCGTATAATATTATCGTCTATGAGCAGATTAAGAAGTAGCGTTTAACGTTTGATCTCCATCCTATCGGTACGGATTCTTTTACATTAAATTATCCACCCGCAATCCAAAGTAAGTATAATAATATTTTTTACAATTCGACCTATCGGATGTAACAACGCTGCTAATAGTTGGAAAGGGGTTATTAAAAGTGTGCAAAAAACTATTTTAATAGTAAAGAACTTCAGGTCTTTAACTTCTTCCTACCTTAAGCTGATAGTTCTCCCTGGCCTGTTTCACTCTGTTACCAAACCGTCCAATGAATCCGTCTTGAACGCGAGCCTCCACGAACGTTAATACACCGCTGTTGGGCCTCGCTCGCATCACCCAAGACACTGACTTGAGCGAGCGGACCGCACACACCGACCTGGAGATAAACGTACCTTATAACATTAAATTTATATTTTCAAATTTGGTTTGGAGTGAGCAGCTTGGACGGTGGAGGTGAGCCTTTAACGCGCGTTAGATAGGGCCCCCTTAAACAAGGGTCGCAAGTCATAGACACTGTTGAAGATCCTCTCCCTGTAACGCCATGGACCCGGCACCTGCACAGTGCATTCATTGAATGCTAAGAGGTTTCGTCTCATAATACACAGAACCACTTTCCTTCAAACCCTATAGTTAAGTAAGTGCTATATCAATAAGTGTTATTGTTCTCCTATTATATATACGGACCGTTCCTCCTCAGTGAGATCATTAATAAAGTCCACGAGCGCGGCGGCCGTCCTCCTGAACATGACGTCATCGTGCGTCACGTTCTGCCACGACAGACACGAACACCAGTGAGCCTCCACACCCGCCTCGCTACACGATCTGTTCTTTGGAATCTGGAGAAGGACATGTGCTCAAGTACAATATCAAGTTCTTATTAATAATAGCTAAGCTAAACATTAAACTTATTAAGATTATGTTGAAGGTGGATAATTATCGTATGTAAAGTTTTAGTTTCTGTCAAAAATTTGGATGTACCAGCTCAAAAA